CATGCGATTTGTCTGCACCTTACGCGACCCCGGGAAACGTAGGGAGAAGCGACTCCGGACGAGCGCGTTGTCAGAGTCCACAAATGTGTTCCAAAACGACCGGCAGTCAGTTATGGACTCGCTCCATCGGTAACTGATGGCGATGTGGTCGATTTGAGTTTGTGGCCGGCCTGTTGTAGGAGGGCACCAAGTGGCCAGGCGACTTCGGCTATTTCGGAAGTTAGTACTGCACAAAAACAGCCTGCGATCAACACACAGCTGAAGCAATCGTTCCGCATTGTCCGTACGTACCGAGTCCAGTCCATGTCGACCTCCCAATTGAGTCTCGGATGCACTGAGCCTGCCCACTTGCGCATTCATATCTCCGGCAACCACCACGATGTCTGAGCTTTTAGCTCGCCGCATCAGAGCATTCAGGGCGTCGTAAAACCTGTCTTCGACGGCGTTAGAGCTACAGTCAGTTGGGGCATAGGCAGACACGATAAACAGACATCTATCAACTTACTGCTTGTGAGACTCCTTCACAGACGTTGCCAGACGAACCGCACAGAGGCGACTATCAACAGGTATCCACTCAAGTAAGGATACTTCCGCCCGGTGACTTAGCACAATACCAACCCCTGCACATCCCCCCGCAGCAGCCTCTGGATCACCAGAGGTGCGTAGCCGGAAGCGAGTGGAGACCGACGGGGCGGTTAGTTCAACCCCTGTGCTTGCATCTTGAATTCTCGTTTCTGAGACACAGCACATAGCAGTGCCAAGCGAGTCCAGTGTGAGTGCAAGAGCAGCTTGTTGTCCTGCTTGCTTCAGAGTGCGAACATTGAATGCGGCCAGATAGAGTGGGTGTCGAGGCTTGAGGACTGATTTGGAGATGCCTGGAGATGTCGGCACCATGTGATGAGCAGATGCTGCACGCAAAACCGATGCATGACGAACGGAGTCATCAGTCCTAGGTGCTGGGCCTACAAGGAGAGAGTTATTAATGGGGTGGGGAGAGGGGGAAGAAAAAGTATGTGAAGGAGAAAGAAGGGAGGCGTCAGCAGTAGCCTGTTTTCGCTTACCCGCCCTGCTGTATGCAGCAAGTAAGGCGACCCGGCTGATGGCACCACGCGACGGCCGATGTGGCATGGGAATATTGTTAGTTGTGTAGGTCATGGTTGTACGAGGGCTGGGATTTTGCCAGGGCGCCCACACCTAGACAGGAGGACGATTAGGGTCCTCAACCAAAGCCTTTGGTTCAAAAGCCTAACCGCAAGGCAGCGGTGTTTGGCGGGAAATGCAAATGCATTACCATTTCTACGGAACAAGTCGCCACATGTTCCAACCCTCAAGCTGGGGAGCCAGGAGACTGTTCGTCAGACCTCTACCCATTGACCAACCTGGTATGAGAGACTCTGAGAGTGTCGCGGGACACTCCCCAGTATAGCTCAATGCATCGCTGAGGTGCGCAAACCGTCACACCACGGTAAGGTCCAGTCTTTTTGTGATGGATGTCCGATAGAACTGTCTCAAGTTGGCCAGGCGTGATGCCGACGATTACGTTACTTTTGCCGGTATCGTTAATCGCGAATGTGAGAAATTCCAATTGCAATCGCTTACGGAAGATCAGTTCAAATGCCTCACTTTTGTCGCTAAACTTCAATCTTCGCAGGAATCTACGTCCACCTCGTAACTAACCTTTCCAACACTGCGCACAATTTTACCTTGTGTCCACTCTTCCGCACCACTACGATAGTCCTTAGCTAGGACGGATTGACCGGGTACAAATATACTAGCGCGTTCAGCTGTAGCACCCTTTCGGTGCCTAGCTGCGTGCCACCCTAATGAAGCATGGGGGCTGGGATACTGCCAGGTTGCCCAAGCCTAGACAGGGGAAGTCGAGTGGCGGAGGTCGGATTCGAACCACGGACCTTCCGGTCAGTAAATTCGCGCTCTAACCACTTGGGCCATCTCGTCCCCACAAATATACTAACCATAGCACCATGATACCGGTTAAACTGGGATTCCATCTTTGTGTTTCTCGCAGTTGGTGGACGCGAGCTTGGACGAATGACGTCGATTTGTAGGCGGATTTTTTGGTTAAAAAGCACCTCAGCGGAGGAGTTACCGTTTGTAGCGTTGATGTTTGGTGTCGCTCTGTAACTCACCTGGAAGGTTTCGATTATTCCCGTGTGCTCCCCTCCTTTGAGTTTGGCGAGTGCTCTTTTGGAAGTATCCACGAGTCGCTCCACTTGACTATTTGATTGTGGATGGAACGGTAGTGATCTAACATGTGTGATGCTGTTCTGTTTACAGAATTGTTCAAATTCGGCTGAGGTAGATGCGCTTCCATTGTCAGAGACAATAGTATTTGGCACTCCGAAGCAACTGAACATATTTTGTAGTTTGGCAATAGTAACACAAGCAGTAACATGGGTCAGGCTGAATACTTCTGGCCATTTACTGTAGGCGTCGACCAATATCAGATACTGCTGTCCATTGATGGATCCAGCATCCACTAACTGCGACAAAACACAGATGGAATCCCAGTTTAACCGGTATCATGGTGCTGTGGTTATTATATTTGTACCCGGTCAATCCATCCTAGCTAAGGACTATCGTAGTGGTGCGGAAGATTGGACACAAGGTAAAATTGTGCGCAGTGTTGGAAAGATTATTTACGAGGTGGACGTGGATTCCTCCATTTAGGTCCGTCACGCAAACCAGCTGCGCCCTTCCTCTCTCCAAACAACAGTTACACATAATTCCTCGGTTTCGCATAACTGTCATCTTCCGCTCGAGATTCTCGTGGATACATTTGAAGTACCACAAAACTCGGAATCTCCCAAGCCTGCAGTACAATCTGAAATTTCAGTAAGTTGTATACCCAGAAGATCATCATCATCATCATCATCATCAAAGACAGCAACATCAGTGTTGGCACTGATGCTTCACTGCTGTACAACCATAAGGTTCGTCTAGTTATATATCCTCTATCCCCTTTGGTCGAGAGAGCATGTCTGCTTGTCGCACATTTAATCTCAGATCAGGCTCAAACGACACGCTCAGTGATCAATCACTTGTCGTTTGCTTCGTGGTCAAGTTATCGAACATCCCAATCTATGTAGAATTGACCATGGGTCGTTAGTGAACACCAATCTTGAGAGTTTTGTCTCCGGTTGATCTAGAAATACATGAGCCTATTTCGAATGTGTTGTAGTGAAGCGTAATTGCATTGATTTGCCACGTAAAGGATGGAACGCTCCAACAACTCACCGGCTTACCGGATGTCCCAGTCATCGGAGTGGGGGCTATGTTTACCAACGTGCCTCCGCTTTGCGCTCCCTGGATCTTTTCACTCCGCTTTTCCGTCAATGTACGGCATCTAAGTGTCCTTATCTACCGCCAGTTTACCGTTGCGTATGATGGTGGTAGCCACGCATTTGTACAACAGTAAACAAATCAGAATAGGTGTCACGGTTCAAACTCATGAATTCGATCAGCAGCGCAGTGGTTACTGCCCAGTTAATATCCGAGTTACTGACACGCTGAAGAAGATGGACCGACCGGATCAGAAAGTCCGTCATACGAATGCAGCTGAACCCACAACTCCAGTCGTGCGAACAATGACTTCAAAGGACATGTGTTAGGAGGACTGCCTCCTAACGAACATATTCATATTGTTGACTCTGACCTATGTTTCAATGCTCAACATTTCCCTCTCTATTTATCCTTTCATTGGACTGTTTTGTTCCATTCCATTCTTGATTCTTTTGAATCTCGATATTGGATGTTCAGTTGCTGCAGTACAATTTCCTCAAGGCTATTTATCTTCTCGATGCCGTGTGTAACTGATAAGTTCGATTGACTGGTCAGTAGAGGACGTAACAGTGTGACGACTTTCTATCGCGGTGGTACGCCAACAACCGCTGCATTTTTGTTAGCTGTTTAAACCCACGCATAGCTGATGACCCCTATCGTCCTCCTTCATACATCTGGGCACTCTGACAGTATCGTAGCTTATGTACAGCCATGAAATGCGTACTCACAATAAAATCTTAAACCACATCGGCTTCCGCGTGGTGTCATCCGGCGGTTCGCCTTACTTGCTGCATACAGCAAGACGGGCAAGCGAAAACAGACTGCTGGTGACGCCTCTCTTTTATCTCTCCCACATGTTCGTTTTTTCTCCTCCCTACTCCGCTGCTAGCGATATCTCTGTAGTTTCATCCTTAACGACTGAAATCCGTTTGCCACCTGTTGCTGTTTAATTTAGTTTCAATTGATCCGCTATAAACCGTGTACCATAGGATATTGGTTCCAGCTGTTACATTTTCGATCAGTGAAAGGTGAGAGTGTGGGATACAGCCAAGATAGGGGAGAGGTGATGGTATGTTCAGTTTGTCCAGGAAGGCGATATCTTTGATTAGTGAGTCTCACTGACTATGCAATTGGTCCACTTCTGCCAATGTCATTATCCTTTTTTGAGTTGAGTTCCGTGGTCGCTATCCAGGGAGTCGGCAGTTGTCTCCCCAACTCACTTTACTGGTTGGTGTTTTCATACTTCGTTGCCACTTCGTACACTGTCCATCTGTCGGTCGCGCGCGCTCAGCACCAAGGTGGGAGAAAAGTGCTATGAGTGGCAGACGGTCCTCTGGCATGCGGTACGGCAGTTAAACATCGGTGTCTAACACTGATGTCGTGCTGTCGTTGATGATGATGATGGCATGCGGACCACATGTCAACCAAGTTAACCTACATATGAAGTGTGATTACTTTCCTCTGTCTCGGGAGAGTTCCTTCTTCCTAAAACTATCTGACCTACCTCAGCATTTCTAGTCCGCTGTTCCACTGTACTCGAACAATACTTCGGAAGCACGGATCGTCAAACACTGACAACTTGTGTTGTCCTCCACTTGTAGAAGCCAGGTTTCTGACAATGAATCGCACTGACGCACTGTAAACTCTGTCCTTAACAGATAAATGCATGTCAAGTTGATGCCAGTAAAAGTTGAAGCTGGTAAAACGTGCCCTAGCCTTCGAGATTCGAGAATTACTACCACATTCAGTCACTCCACTGTAACTTACGCAGCTGCCTAGTTAAACAAATTTATCTACAATATCGATTGGGTCGTTTTCAAGCATGAGGTTTGGGTTTGATATCACCCAGTCTCGTAACAGCACTTTTCACTTTGCTGGTCTGAAGCGGATACCAAACCAGAATTATGGGCTACTTAAAATGGTCTGCATTTTTTGAATGATCTGAACAAAGGACAGCACTATCGCACGCATACTCAATGTCTGAGCGAATTTCCTGGGAGCATTTGGACTCCCGAGGTTTGATAGACAGGCAGAGAAATTTCAAGCAGCATATACACATGTACTCTGTTTCCTCACCCTCCGACATTCTGGAACAGCAACCAACAGTGGTTCTCTTCCTTGGCTTGAAAGCTGCCTTTGACTCTGTAGACTGTCAGGCACTATGGCAGTGTCTGTGGAGGAAAGGTGCCCCCCGAAAATCTTAATCCCTCTTAAGGCGCTGTACGTCCATTGCCCTGGTCTACGCCTGACTTCAGATCAAGTGGTATCAGTAGGGCTGTTTTCTTTCACCTTACCTAATCAACTTCGTCATTGATACGATCATAGATGACTCACTACCAGCCTCTAATCCCTGTGGGGTCGAAGTGCTTCCGGGACGTCTTCTCCGAGATATCGAGTACACAGGCGACGTAACTCTTCTTGGATCGGACCCTGTGATAATGCAAATAACTCCGCCTCACGGTTCGGCATGCGCTGCATACTTGCGAAGTGTGAAGTGCTACTGTAAGACTGGGTAGGCTCGAACCCTAGCCTCATACTTGCGGATGAACCGATGGAGGTAGTGGACAAATTTGTTTACCTGGACAGCTGTATCAGTCGCTCGCGGCTCGCGAAAATGATATTTCCATCCGGATTGGGAAGGCCATAGCCGCTTTTGTGAGCCTGTGTCACCTGTGGCGTGGGCGTGACATCAGATCCTCACATTATTATGTGGGTCAGAAACCTGGCCAATGCGCGCTGAGGACGCCAAAAGACTTTTAATGTTTGTTCATCGATGTCTTCCGAGCAATGCCGAAGTCTGGTGGGAACACCGGGTGAGTAATGCTGAGGTAAGTTGGATCGTCATTATCATCGACAACATGACATCAGTGTTCAAAGTCGATACTTCGCTGCCGTACAACCATGATTTGTTTAAAAGCCTTACTGTGAAGAAAAGTTTAACGGGAAATGAACTTAGTGCTAGCCTCACAATGCCCTTTTCGCCTAGCCCTGTATCAAATATAGGTGACCCAGGGACAATAAATCCATGATTTGATGATAAGGTGTAAATGCCCCTACCGGTCGACTCAGCTGTTTTAGTAACTATCCTATCTCCGGATGAGTACCCGATAAGAGTACCCCAGTGGTTAGTGAACCTAACAAGTATGGTTGTCGCTCGTCCAGTGGTGGTAATGCATTAAAGATAGCTGTTTCCTGTCATAAGATATACACCCTTCTATGCTTGGGCAACCTGGCAGTATCCCAGCCCTCGTGCTTCCTTCGGGTAGGATGGCAGCTATGCACCGGAAGGGTGTTACAGCTGAGCGGTTTTTCTTATACGAGATACTGAATTACGTAGGCTCACCGTATTAGTTAGGTCATCGTATCCAATATGTAGCTTTCATCCCCCTTGATCTCTATGTCATCGGTAAACGGGACTGTAGCAGTTGAAATCGCTTTAATTCAGTACGCGATTTGTGTCTGGAAACCTGAACTGAACTAAGATGCCTTACTACTCCACCTTTTGGTTCATTGGAGGAAGAAGTTACGGGAGAATCGTAGCAATACAGGGCTTCAATTCATCTTCTCAGGAAGTGTTTTACAGTCTTTTTGGATTAGTTCTTTTTCCTGACTGTAAACCGTTTATCATGGATCGAAAGTATGAAAGTCTTGTGGACCCGTGAGGGCAACTGATTCTTCTTGAGTATGCTTTGTTGAGCGAAGCAGATTTGACAGACTAATTACCAGGTTCGGTAAGCAGGTCAGCGACCTTGTTTTGTGACAATGATTGGCATGTAAATCACCCATCTATTTGGACGAATTGACTACGAACTGGACCGTTATCGAAAGTTAGCATTATTTTTTATCACGTGATGGTCCTTTACGGTATGGTTTCACTTTTGGATGTGGTGGGTTCTAAAAGCTGTTGAAGCCGGTGGCACCTGATTTTACCGGTACACTCTCCTGCTGCACTAAATAAACTGTATGCAATTGCCATCCAGTTGGTGGCAAAAGGAACTGAGGATTTCGGTTGTGTCGTTCCGTACAGGCATGTGTACAGGTTGCCGATTTCGACACGCAGTTATCGTCATCATCGACAGCAATACTGGCGTTTACTAAGCAACAATGGGAATTTCGGCAAATTCCCTTTAATTTATAGGCCCGTTTCTCTTTTTACACATTTCATGCCACAGGGATAAACACTGGAGGTAAATTAACCTTC